CCGCCGTCTAGCAAGCCGCCGCCGCCAAGCCCATGGTTTCGTGGAGTGATGACGGATCCAACTCCTCCTCGTCTGGTGGCGACTCCGCCAGCAGTCCGGTGAGATCCTCTCCACCAGCATCTGGCATTTAGGGTTAGGCGAAAATTGGGGATTTTTGACCAGATTTGATTTTAGGCTCCTCGCACCATTGACTGCTCCGATTGGAGCAGCCTTGCAGTAGATCTACCTGTTAGATGTGAGCACCAAGCAATGTGTGAGAAGTTGGTTGCCTTTGAGTCTGTTGACAGTGGAGGAAGATTCGTGGGTTGTGCACAAAAGGTTAGTAGATGTTCATAGTTGTATATGTAGATGGAATTGCTTTAGTAGATGTTCATAGTTGTACATGCTTTATCCATTTAAGAACATATGTGATTGAACTTCATTTGTGCCATTTTTATATGTTCTGTGCCATATTGCTGTAAGAAGAAGATTATCTTTTTTTAAATAATTTAGAGTGTTGTCCAAATATGTAGTGTTTAAGTAGCTAATTAATGCTCAAAGGTTACTGTGAAAATAGCAACCTGGATATGGTGTCAGTTAACTGAATCTTGATTCAGCGTTACTGAATTTTGTGCAGTTAACTAAATGTAGATTCAGTGTTACTGGATTTTGTGCAGTTAACTGAATCTTGATTTAGTGTTATTGAACTTTGTGCAGTTAACTGAATAATGCATTTCAATTTAAATGTTTTCCTCTTCAATTTTAGGATGGGCCTAAATGCCCCTATGTGCATTGGGTTGAGCTAGAGCGGCCTCCTCAATTGAAGATGAGTCTAGCTAGGGTCTTGGACATGTATGAAGAGGTGGTCAACCTCAGGCTCAGGCAAAATGTTGTTAATGCTGAAGAAAACTTTAAGATATTGGGAGAGAAGAAAAAGATGGAGCAAGATCTGAGGTTTTTTAAACTAGATTTTGCTAAGATGGTGGCTGACAAGGAGCAGGCAATTACTGAATCGGGCAACACAAGGCTAGCTCTCTCTGACCTAAAGATAGAACTCGAGAAGAAGAAAATGTTTGATAAATCTCTGACCAACATTCATCAGGTGGTAAGGGCTAAAGCAGAGAAAGAGAGGGATGAGATGAAGCAAGAGAGGGACAAAATGATGGAAGAGAGGGACAAATTGAAGGAAGAAAGGGATCAGTTGAAGAAAGAGATAAAGAAGCTAGAGTACATGATTGGTGACTTGTTCAAGCATAAGGAAGACACCAAGTGCAAGATAAGGAAGGACAGGGAGATGCTAGATGAATGTGAGTGATCCATTGCTGTTGTAATGCTGCCCAAACTTGGAGGTGATCTAATGGAATTTTATTAGTGGACTTGTTTAATTTAGTTAATGAGGATCAGTGGACTTGTTTAATTAAGTGAATTTCTGCCTAAATTTATGTTATCTTTGATGCAATGACCTAATATGCACTATACTATCTGAGTTTGAGTTATCTTTGATGCACTCAGTATCTTTGGTGCTCTAGTGGAATTCATATGGAGAGAACTGAACTTTTATTCTGTTTTCTGAATCTGGATTCAGTTAAGTGAGTTTTGATTTGGTTAACTGAATTTGGATTCAGTTAACTGATTTGTTGTGTCACTTAATTGATTTGCTATTCTAGTTAATTGAAATTTTGTTTAGTTTACTCAATTATGGTTCAGTTAACTGATTTTTGTTTAGTTAACTCAACTAGGGTTCAGTTTAGTGAAATTTTGTTCAGATAGAACATTGACTCATACATTCACTCATACATAGATAGAATTACATTCATACATTGCATACATCCCATCATCGACAGATCTCATGCATTGCATTCGTCGACAGATTTCGTACATAGATAGAAAGGTAGATCTAGGAGCATAGAAACTTAACAGCAAATTCATGGGTAGAGAATCCTAGTCCACCTCTACCTAGTGACCTAAAAAGGATGGAAATTTGCCCTCCTCCTTGCCCAGTAGATGATATCATCATTACTATGGTTCGAGCCAAGGGGGAATGCCTCCAGGAAGTGTCCCATGTCCTTGCGGTTGCGTGCTGCAAGGATCCTCTCTGCCAGTTGCCTTCTCTCCCTCCTTCTTGCCCCTCTATGTCTGGCTCCCCTGGGCACCTCTTCTTCTTCATGTATGACCTCTCCAGGATCCATGTCTCCTAGGGTTTTCTTTGGCGGCTGGGGGAGGAGAAGGGAGGGGTTTGGGTTTGACTGCTGTTTCTGCTAATGGGGTGTGCTTTATATAGTATGGTGACTGGTAGGTAGGCAGAAGATTAATGGTGGCTGGTAGGTAGGCAAAAGAGTAATAAACCAGCCCATTTTTAGGCCCACATTGCTTACTTAATCCCCAATGTGCAAATCTGGCAGGTATGGCCTTGATTTGCCGAATTTGTATTCCGTTAACTGAAATTTGTTTTACACAGTAGTGCCGAATTTTGTGTTCAGTTAACTTAATAGAAATACAGTTAATTGAACATGTTTAGAGACAACTGAATTGTTGTCTCAGCTAACTAAGTTTGATAACTGATTTTTTGTCTTTGACTATTTGTTTGATAACTATTTTTTTGCAGAATGTAGCATATGTACCTACAGAATGCTATTTATAGTACGTGTTCCACATGGTCTATCTAGCTATCCACATGCACATAGAAACAATAAAGCAGTACAATGCAACATTTCAAGCTAAGCACTGCAGCATTTGCAGACCAACATCATACATAGTTCAATTTGCAAACCACATAATTACAGATAACTTATGTGTTGTATATAGTAGCACACCTAACCATAGCATGTCCAAAATAGTTCTAACTTATATGTTGTGATGATATAGCAGCATACCTAGCTAACAACATCATAGTTCTAACTTATATGCTGTGATATATCATCATAGCTAGCTAACAGCATCATATTTCTAACTTATATGTTGTGATATAACAACATACCTAAGCAACATCTGCAGACCCTACTTTCTTCAGCATCCTCTTTCTTCACTCCTTCTTGAGCAACTTCATGCGCTCGGAGAGGCGCACCACCACAACTGCCCTCTTTACGGCTGCTCTCTTCTTCTTCTTGACCCCTTGTACGGTCGGCACCACACCCTCCTCCTCAACCTCCTGCTTGATGATGACGGCTTCAGGCAGATCTGGCAGCTCGTCCGCCTCAATGGGTAGGTTCCGGTCACCCTCCACGGCGGCGACGACCGGCGCAACTATCTGCACCTCCGGCTCATCGTTTGACAGGACAACGACCTCCTCAACCTCCTCGTCAGATGACTCATCGTTGGAGTCGTCATGTGGCCCAAGGAGGACAGATGGACCACGACGGTCCAAGTAGGCGGCGTTGACGGGCACTGGGAGGGCAACCATGACATCGCTGACGTGCTCAGTCCTGGACGCAACGCGCTCTGCATTCGGCTGGGCCAATGTCGCGGTGGATGAGCGGTACATCCACCAGCGGGCGCACTGCCTGGGGTCTGGGGAGCGCTGAACCTCGCGTATTTCCCACAGGAGGATGGTTGCCGGAGGGACGTTGAAGCTGGCGGGGAAGGCACAGAGCTTTTCAGCATCCGTCATCACCTTCACGAGACCGCGCGTGTGGATCCTCATCATCTGAAAACTTGGGAACCACCGCGCGATCTCCCTGTATTGCGCGCGTATCTCTTGGTTGTCGCCGGCCAGCTCTTCGACGGCCTTTTGCCGGCCGAGACTCTGGTCCATGGTGACGGCGGTGGCGTGGTCGTCGACCCGGGTTTCTTGGGTGGTTGGTGGTATAGGAGAGTGGGGTGTGCGAGCGGTGAGTGGGAGAGAGAACGACAGGTTGACACGTCTTAAAGCCTGGGAAATCGAAACGACAACACTTTGCTACGCATGGTCGTCACACAGCGAGCGTAACACACGCTAAACTGCAGGGCCCACTAACTAATAATATTTAGATAAGAAGGTGCTAGTAGAACAAATCACTACTTCTATCCCATTGTCATTGCATGCAATGTTATAAACCTCAGGTCCTGGGTTCGAGCCCCAAGCCATATTTTTTGTTTTCTAATATTTTTTTCCAGTACAGCAGTCAATACAATTAAGTTAACTACAACAGCAGTGAATAAAATTTAGTTAACTACAACAGTCAACCACATTCAGTTAACTAGAACAGCAACCAATAAAATTCAGTACACTACCTCATTGTGCACTTAAGTTCAATTAAATCTCATTTAACTAGCTCATTGTGCACTTAAGTTCAACAGGCCAATATGCACTAAACTTCATTCTACATTACTATCCCCCCTTGAGGAACTTCCCTCCAAATGTTAAGTTTACAAAAAGGGCAATGAATGCCATTGTTTGCCACCAAAAATAGGCAATGCTTGCCACTTGATGCCACTGTTTGGCATCCTTAACAGGCCAGTCATTAAGTTACATCACTCTAGGCCTTTACAAAAAAATGTCACCGGCAACAGCTAGCTAATCAGGGAGCAGGTGCATTGACATCTTCAGGAGGAGCATTGAGATAAGGTACTTGGCTAATCCTGTCATCTCCAAACAACAGCCAATATGCCCTCTCACCTGAAATACCTCCTCTCCCTGCAGTAGCTGGAGCTGCACCTCCTCTCCGTGCAATAGCTGGAGGTGCACCTCTTGCTCTGCCTGTAGCTGGAGCTGCACCTCTTCCTCTGCCTGCATTTGGAGATGCTCCTCTTCCTGTGCCTGCATCTGGAGTTGCACCCCTTCCTCTGCCTGCATATGCATTTCTTTGTCTTTTACATGCTCTTCCTATAGCAGCAACTTGTGATCCTTCTTCTTTGTGAGCTACTGTGGTTGCCCTTGTCTGCCTACCAATGATCATCTCTGTGGTGACCACTGGCTGAGGTATTGCAGCAGCAACAACAACAAAGGCAGACTGTTGTGGTAGTGGGCCATATACCCTTTGAGGAGCTCTTCTAGCAATATCTCTTTGAGCCATGGTGAACACCATACTTGTTGGTGAATCAATTGGATCCAACATAGGATCTACATTGTTTGGGAAAATGTTCTGCACATATTCATTTAAGCACATTCAGTTCTGTGTAGTTAAGTGCTTGCTATGTAGTTAAGATCTAGAATGAGTTAAGTATAGTACAAATGCAATTAAATTTAGTAGTGCATATACCTGAAGAAAGGTAGGGTCATCATAGCTATCATCAACCACCTCTATCCCATCTTGAATGAGAGTTTCCTGCCATCTGTAGTGGCTCTTTCTGTTGTGATAAGCTCTCCCATAGATTGAGCAGTGCATTGTAACACATTTTCTGTTCAAAACCCTCACACCATTCTTGATCTTCTCCTCTGGTGCCTTCTTCCTATTTTTCTTGGGCCTTCCCAACTGTTTAGTAAACACCGGTGGATGCACCTTGTACCCATTATGTATCTCCCAATGCTTTGGGTCTGCAAGAGGAACAAGAGTGTATCCATATGCCTTGAGATATGTCTGAACTGTATAGCAGTCATGAACCATTGTCTCTGGATCAATCCTCTCCTCCCTGCAACATGCTATAGAATGAACACATGGTACTCCAAACAACTGCCATCTTCTACAATCACATGTGTGCAAAGCAAGATCCATTGTGTAGCTATTGTTACCAGATTGTACTCTGAACATTTTTTGGCCAGCTTCAGATACATGGCAATTTGCAGCAAACTATGTATTCTTATCCAATTTATTATTGATCTTTGGGCATATTCTCTGCCCTACCCACTTTTCTATAGCTTCCCTTTGTTTACTCACTAGGCTATGCATGATCTTGTAGAAGATATATTGAAGCATACTTAGCACTGCCATCTCTCTGCCATCAAGAATATAGCTGTTAAACACTTCTGAGTTATTGTTCAGCAGGATGTCACATTTGGGAAATTCCGTGAAAAATGCCTTGCACCATGTGTTTGCCTCAAGTCTCTCAGTCCAGTGGAAGGCAGTTGCGCAGTGATCATCCATTTTCTGACAGTTCTCTCTCCACTTCACCTTGTTTGGTGATCTTGCAATGACCCACGGATCTTCCTTGAGTACCTCTGCTCTGTGCTTCTCATTAAAATTTTGGTAAATATGCCTCACACAAAACCTCTGTTCTGCATCTGGCCAAACCTTGTGCACAACATTTATTAACCCTTTCTGCTTGTCACTCATAAGTGTGAAAGGAGATGTGTTTGTAATGTTCAGATCATCTTTTAGAGTGGTCAGAAACCACTCCCATGAACCTTTGCATTCTACTTCCACCCAGCCCATTGCAATGGGGAAAATGCAGTCATTAGGA